AATAAGTTTAATTAGTTTACTTTTTAAGTTATTTAAAGCATTTAAATTTATTGTAGGTTAACATAGATTTATAGTTTTAAGTAACTAAATATCTTATATCCCAAGTAATCTTTTTAACTATTCATAAGGTACCTTTTGAGAATACATACATAATATGATCGATATTTTATAGTTAAATCATTTCAACACATTTTATTACAAACCATAATTTCTTCTAAAAATAAAATATATTTAAATTAATCAAATATCCAAAAAAGATTCCTCTGAAAATTCAAAATTAAATGAAATATTTACCAAATAAGATCACTTGAACAGTCAATATATAATTATTCAAGTTTGAAGAATGCAATTTCATAACTTTTGTGAAGAGAAAACAAATAAACTAGTTATTTTTATTGAAACCAATACTCTACTTTTTTATTAGAATAGCTTTTTTTATATGATTTTAAATAAAACTCCTCTTAAGATTTTAGCTTTGTTGTGTTATGGAGTGAATATGGTACGCCTAGAATCATTATTTTCAACTAATTAGTGGTAAGATTTCAAAAGTAATTAAATTAAATATACTGCATGTAAAAATGTGGACCTTCATTGAATCTAATACTTACAAAGCAATAATGAACAAGAGTAAAACAATTTTTGTTTCATACTATAATAAACTCCAGATACATAACAATGTCTTTGTCAAATTTGACTAATTGTTAGCTTGCCATTTCTGAATTTTTTAAGACATTGAAAGGGTATTTTATTACAGCCCGTACTGCACTTATTCAAATCAATTGCATGTTTTCTTAGTATATTAATGCTAAAATGAATTTAATAGTACTGTACTCTTTCCATACGATGCATCCAATAGTGGAATTGAATTGTAGCCTGAACTACAGTAAGTTTTCTGAGCAATTTAAGAGGATTTTTTTAATGTTACCTCATATTTACGTGCACCCACGAATACTAGAAAATTACCAGTATGGAATTGATTGTTATAACTGTATTTAACTAAATTGTTGGGTATGTTACTTTTTTGGATCCAGAATCCACCAAATTGGCTCAAACATTTGGATTATATAAGTATTATAATAACTCGCCTTTGGCTCGCTGGGGGCTCCGCCCCAAGGCCCCCTTTTTTGGTTGGGGGTAAATACAAATAGGCCATGGCGCAAGACCTACAATTGAGCCAAATTTCAGATCTCCCTATTTTCAAAATTTGGTCAATTTCCTTCAAATTATTAACGGTTTTTGCTAATTTTCCATACCTAAATAATTTCATTTTGCAAATATTCTCCTGAGTTTACTTAAAATGTCTGAGTTTACTTGAATTGTAAAATTTACCCTTAACTTAGGATCCCATACTACAATACTACCAAACTACAAGTCTCTAGCACGTTTAAAAAAAAAAATGTGTAAATCAAACACATTTCTACGTAGGGAAATGAATTGCCTACATTTTCTATATCTTAGATTATCTGTAAAAAAAATTCCTGTACACATGCTAGGCCTCTATTCCAAAAATTTGAATAAAAATCTTTTTCACAGTTTGCAAAAAAATCCACCAAACAGGAATTCCTCCTATTTTATGTTATTTTAAATTTCCTTCTTTTCTGAACAAAACAAGTATAAATATAACTAGGTTATCAACAGGGGTTTAGGACCTGTGAATTGTCAAAAACGACTCTGGGAAATTACCAAAATTGCTAGGCCACCGAGCAATTCTGCATAAATCATAGTGTTAATGCAAATCTTAAAGGCAATCATATATAGCATTTTTGTGACCCCATCATATATCATGGTTCAAGCTCAAATAGATAGCAACTTAACTGTAGCGCATTCCATTCAAGGTTTACTCGACTATGGTACCTATTTTTGGGAAGATAGTTTTCTTTTTCACAGTACAAAATCGATTGCATAAATTAATTGTCCACGTGGTGTTCTGAGTATTAGTTTACCTTACCTTTGAACTATAACCCTACATAACCACTGTGTCACATACATGTATCGGACTTTCCTTATTAAAGTTCTGTGAATAATGGCTTGTTAGTGAATTAATAGGATTGCATAAGGGATAGAGAAGCAAAGCTGTTATATGGTATGTGGCATTCATTCTCCCTCCAACCCCTTATGAACCACACCCCCTCGTCTCTCTCTCTTGCTCCCTCCCCCCTCTCTCTCAGAGAGGCTTAGTGTTCTTGAGGAAAGTGCTTTGACAACGGATCAGTACTACTTTGAGGCCTGACAACCTACTAATTTCTCCTTAGATTTGATCAAAGGCCTCACCCCAACTTTAAATAACTGGTAAAGAAGCACGTTTTTTTACAGACCGTTAAATTAATTTTTTTAGTTCATTCAAAAGCAAGGGGGCTTTATCAAATTATTACCAAGCAATATTTTACCTGTTTTTGAGTAAACCTGAAAATTTCATTTTAACGATTGGTGTACATCCCCGTATCGATTGCTTATGTATACTTTACCACTTATTATATAGTGGTGCCGATAGCCATTAAAGGCCTCGGTAAAATCCTTTCATTGCCCATATGCAAACAGTGTTTATATAAAATAAAATAAGCCATAGACCAAGTGTCACTATTTGATTGCAAGAGTGTCGTTTCAGACTTCCAAATACTTGGATTTAAAACTTATATTGTCAAATTCTTTCAGCTGCCTGTGTTGTGCTTTGGGGAGCACTCGAACCCCGCACAAAAATAGAGGTCACTCTAAAACCTAAATATCCCATTCAAAAACAAATTATCAAGCATTCTAGAATAGAAGGTTTATTTTTGTGGAGGATAATAACAGTTTCTAGAACCCCACATGACGGATCATGTGTGGAGTTCCGGGGAGTTGATGTTAGGACCAAGTGCTCCATTCATATTCACCCGTTCTTTCGTCTGCTGGATGACGAATCTCACCTGGAAATAGATTCGGCTCACTTGTTCTTTACAATATACGACTGTCCCAAAAGTCCCGGACCGGTTTAATATTTTCCAAACGACAACAGATAAATCAATAAGATTTTGCACATTAACACCACACTTAAAAATCTACTTTTTTAATGAACTATCAACTTTCTGTCATATAATGGGGACGTCCCGCAAGGAGTCAGAAGGACATCTTAAATAGAAGCATAGGTTGACATGCACATCAAATTAAAGACCTTTTCTAGTAGATTACAATGCCGTAAATTAAAGCTCAAAAGAACGCCTTTATAAAAAATGGCAGCCGTTCAAAGATTTCTTGAACCTGTCATTTTGAATCTTTGAACGACTGCCATTTTTTGCTCAGGCGTTCTTTAAAACTTGAATTTACGGTATTGTAATCTACTAGTGAAGACCTTTAATTTGATGTGCATATCGACCTATGCTTACGTTAACAATTTTTTTCCGATTCCTAGGGCTGTGCCCCCAAATGCAAATTAAATGAATCTTTGAACCACTGTCATTCTTGACTTGGTTGTCCGTTTGAGTTCAAATTTGCGGCATTATATTCTGCTAGTAAAGACCTTTAATTTGATGTACATGTCAACCTATGCTTCTATTTAAGATTTCCTTCTGACTCCATGCGGGACGTCCCCATGATGTGACAGAAAATTGATATTTCCTAAAAAAAAGTAGATTTTTAGGTGTGGTGTTGATGTACCAAATCTTATTGATTTATCTGTTGTCGTTTAGAAAATATTAAACCGGTCCGGGACTTTTGGGACAGTCTGTATATTTAAATATACTGTTTGAAGTGTTCGTGCTTTTGGTCTGTATAGAGTTCACATTATTTATTACCATATGTTACATACAAATAACAAGATTGTTTACTTTTTGTTGTCAGTTAGTTTTTACATGATTAAAGTCAAGTTTCGTTTTACTAAGTTGTACTTTTTAATTGTATAAGTGAATACACGTTATTGGCGACGAGGAATTAGAACTCACACAATGCCGACATCAGGTAGACATAGACGACATCAAGACGATCCAGGTACCGATCAAGTTCGTAATGAAAAAAGTATTTGTAATTTTAAATGTGACTTGTTCGACCCGGACACAGTAGAGATTGATGTGTGGCACATTAAGTTTACTACAGGTCTTAAACTCAATGTAATTAACGATGATGAAACCAAACGCTTGCTATTCATAAACGCTTTGGGTACAAATGTGTTAAGCACACTGGTTAACCTTTGTAGACCTAATGATTTAAATGACTTTAAGTATGAAGAACTTTTTAAACTATTGTTGGACAATTTTAAAACTAAAAAAATCGCCATTGCAGAAAGAGTCAAGTTTTTTTCACTGCGTCAGGGCTGCGAGAGTCTGACGGAGTTTGCCAATGTTTTGAGGAATAAAGTAAATGATTGTCAATTTCCCATTCAATTTTTCCAACAAGCACTTGTTACCGCTTTTGTAATGGGGATATGTGATAACAATATATGATCCAAACTCATGGAGAAGGATTATGAAACGTTCTCAGAAGTCATTAAGGTAGCTAATTCTCTTTTCTCAGTAAAAGATGCTTCATTAAATAGTTTTTCTCAGAGGAAAGATTGTAATGTTTTATCTCTAGGACCATGCTTTATATGTGGTGGCAAACATCTGAAAAGGAATTGTAACATTAAAAATCCAAGATGTTACAAATGCGGGAGTAAGAATCACATAACTAGAATATGTAAAACGGGACAGGTGGAGAAACGACACCTTAAAAGCAACATTGTTGAGAATGGTCCAAAGTCAAAGGAATCCGGTAGTAACGTTGTTGATAATGATGTAACTAGCTATAATGATACGAACTCTTTGGGAGGAATACAGGACGTTCTTTCAATCGGAAAGCAGGCAACCTTTTACCCGATACTTATTCTTAATATCTTACTCAATAACCAGATCGTAAGGATGCAGTTTGATACAGGTAGCTGCGCTTCAATTATCTCAGATCATACTTGGAAACAGATAGGAAAACCCGACCTTTTGTTAAGTAAACAGAATTTTACTTCATTTACAGGTCATTGTGTTAAACTTCTTGGTGAGATGGATGTAGAAGTTGTTTTTGCAAACGTTAAAACCAAACTCAGAGCTTTTGTCGCATCGGGTGTCAAACAAAATATTTTGGGAAGAGATTGGATTACACCTTTATTTCTCCACAAAATATCACTTTCCGATTTGCAAAGGATATGTTCAGAACCGTATAAACAAACCTTACAAGTAGAAAATACGGATCAACAACTTGCCAAACTTGTGGATGAGTTTTCTGACGTCTTTCAACCCAATGAAAATAAATGTTCAAAGACAACTGCTCATTTGTACCTAAAAGAGGATGCTACACCAGTGTTTAAAAAGGCAAGGCCTGTTCCTTTAGCTTTAAGGGACAAGGTTAAAGAAGAACTTGACCGGTTAAAAAGAAATGGTATCCTTGAAGAAATAGACCATTCAGAATGGGCTGCGCCATGCGTGATTGTAAGAAAACCGAATGGAGCTATTAGAATATGCGCAGATTTTTCAACGGGACTCAACCAAGCATTAAAGGTGCAGCAGTTTCCATTACCAACTCAAGACGATTTATTGACCAAGATAGGTTCTGGACAGAAATTTACTACCCTTGACCTCTCTGATGCTTACCTTTCTATTCCCATGGACACAGAATCTAAAAAACTCCTTGTCATTAATACTATTTTTGGTCTTATGCGATACAATAGACTGTGTTTTGGCGTAGCTCCTGCTACGGCAATTTTTCAAAAAAAGATGCATTCTATGCTTTCTGGATTAGATGGAGTCGCTTTCCTACTGGATGATGTCATTATAACAGGAATAAATGACACTGAACATCTAAACACGTTAAAAGAGGTTTTGAAACGCATTGAGGACAATGGTTTTTGTTTAAACAGAGCTAAGTGTCACTTCATGAAGGAAAAAGTCAACTATTTGGGTCTATGTATTTCCAAAGATGGAATTTCGACGAATCAAGACAAGATAAAGCCCATAGTAGATATGCCTGAACCCCAAAACATTAAACAGTTGGAATCATTTATAGAAATGGCAAACTTTTACTCAAAGTTCATCCCAAACGTTTCTGAGATCTGTGCACCATTAAACAAACTAAGGCAGAAAAATGTTCAATGGACATGGACAGAACAATGCTCTCAGTCAATTAACCGTATTAAAGATGCTTTAGTTTCCACTCCTATTCTAGTGCCATTTAATAGTGAATTACCTATAGTGGTTGCAGCCGATGCTTCATCAGTGGGGATTGGTTGCGCAATTTTTCATCGATATCCTAACGGAGAAGAGAAGCCGATCGCGTATGCTTCTAAAACACTGAACAAGGCAGAGCAAAATTATTCGCAAACTGAACGAGAAGCTTTAGCTTTGATTTATGCTATTAAAAAGTTCCGCATCTACCTTTGGGTCACACATTTTCTGATCCAAACAGACCACAGACCTCTATTGTCTATATTCGGATCCAGCAAAGGAGTGCCAGTAACCACGTCTTGCAGAATACAAAGGTGGGCTTTGTTTTTAACAAATTTCCGTTTTGACATAGAATCCGTTTCTACTAAACTATTTGGGAAAGTTGACTGTTTAAGTCGTTTGCCTTTCGAGGAAGATGTCGATTTTGACCAAGCCGATGAGAGTTATAGCACCGTAGTTGGATTAATATTCTCAGGTAACATAGATTGTCTACCAGTTACGGCTAAAGAAATCAGTGAAGAAACGTCGAATGATGTCACTCTTAATCGGGTCAAAGAGTTTGTATTAAGTGGATGGCCAAACAAGACAAACAATCTGGAGTTAAAACCCTATGAGTCAAGGAAGAACGAAATATCCATGCATGAGGGCTGCCTAATGTGGGGGGTTAGAGCAATTATCCCAGAAAAGTTCAAGCAGAAATTACTTATGAACCTGCACGACACTCATTTAGGAATGGTAAAGATGAAGGCGTTGGCCCGAGATCGTTTTTGGTGGCCATCGATGGACAGTGACATCGAACACGTGGCAAGAACTTGTGCACTATGCAACTTGTACGCTGCAAGAGAACCACAGAGAAAGTTCCTCAGTAATTGGCCGAGATGCACTGACCCTTGGACCCGTATACACTTGGACTTCGCTGGACCTTTCCTTAATAGTGTTTTTCTTTTGGTCGTAGATGCATACTCCGGTTGGCCAGAAATTATCAAGTTGAACTCTATGACTACTTCAGTAACAATCAAACTAATTAAGCTGTTAATATGCCGATATGGAATCCCTAAAACCATAGTGACAGACAACGGACCCTGTTTTACGTCCGTAGAATTTGCACAGTTTTGTAAAGCATTTGGAATCGACCACGTAACCACTCCACCTTACCATCCGTGTTCCAACGGACAAGTTGAAAAATACGTCGGTACCATGAAACAGGCGTTGAGAAAACTTTGCCAAGAACAATCCCCTAAAGGTTTGGAAGCTGACTTAAACAACTTTTTATTTAAGTACAGGTTAATACCACGCATAACTTCTGGAATGTCACCTTCTGAGTTGTTTTTAGGACGTCAGCTAAGATGTATCTTAGATTTAGTTCAACCCCAAAAAGGAAGTCAGATTAAAACAGAAGAGGAAGAAAATAAAGAAGATAAAACAAAAGAGAAAGAGAATAAAGAAGGAGCCACTACTAGCCTAAAAAACTTCAAAATAAATGAACCTGTGTTTTGGGCAGAAACCAGAAACGGAAATATTGTGTGGAAACCCGGCGTAATCTTGAAGAGACTAGGGCGAAACGTGTGGAAAGTTGAAGGTAACGATAGAAGAATCTTTAAAAAACACGCTGACCAACTAAAGCATAAAAACCTTCTTGAAGACAAGGACAGTAGTTCAATCTCGGCGAGAAGGTGAAGTGTTCGTGCTTTTGGTCTGTATAGAGTTCACATTATTTATTACCATATGTTACATACAAATAACAAGATTGTTTACTTTTTGTTGTCAGTTAGTTTTTACATGATTAAAGTCAAGTTTCGTTTTACTAAGTTGTACTTTTTAATTGTATAAGTGAATACACGTTACTGTTTACATCGCAGCATAAACTTTGCTACGATAATAGAATTGAATGTAATGCATTTAAAATGCGATGTGCTGGAAACTCTTAATGTGTGTATGAACAAAGTAAAAAGTAAATATGTAAACTCCAGCGAATACAGTCATAACTATGTAATTATTTACGTTTTTTTAGTGTTAAATATGTATATATCACTGAGTTTTTGTAACCAATTAAAATATATTTATTTGCAACTATAGTCCGTTCCCATAATATATTGGGTTTAAGGGAAAGCTTTCCTAAGTACCTCCACGTTTTTTTTTTTTTTTTTTTTTGCTTAATCTATACATTGGCAATCAGATGTTGGCAATTGTTTCAAAATTGAGGTGATGTGGTGGTTATTAAATAATTTCCCTTACCTTGCCTAAGTTCTGTCGACAGAGTATAATTTATACCAATATATAATAGTAAATTGTCTTTTATTATTCAACATTTATATAAATTTCAGGGTTCGAATTGGATTACAATACATCCGAAAATATTACTATTTCGTAACCTCAACTTAAGTTTGATATTTGTATTAGTATATTCCATGAAATTGGAATACGCTTAAATTGTTGCTGTGTTAAGTACTTTTTTGGATCAATTACAACATATAGAATATGTATGCAAAATGCTCCTTTTAAAAAACCTCTCACAAGCCTTCAACAGTAAAACAAATACAGTACAGTATGAATTAGATTTGACTATCAATACGTATGTATCTAATTGTCAATGGTATTAGCAATAGCCAAAATAATTACAGTACTGAAATTATAACAGCTGATTCAGTTTCAGTACTGTTATTTTGGCCAATACTGTATTTAGGTAATACTAGCTGTTAGCCCGCCATGCTTCAAAACTAAACTTGAAGTTTGTTATAGAGCTATGTTAGGATATTTATAAAATTGTAAAATGTGTCACTTTTAAAGGTTTTTAGAAAGTATAAAATTAGAAAAATAAATAAATTATTCGTTTATTTCATCGTATGAAATCATATTGCTGCATTTTCGTGACAGCTTATATTGCTCAGTTTTTTTTCTTTTTTTCTCTTTAGTGACGAAATTCGTCAATAAGCAATAATAAGAAATTTAATTACCAAATGCTTAGCAAGAATAACCTTTATACCAGACAAAGTTTATTTTTTCACAAACCCAAACCAAAATGTTCATCAACCCCATGCCCCCCGTAAAGGAGAATTTTGGGGCCTTGTCACCCAAATGAAAAGCCTACTAACATAGACACAGTACTGAGATATGCCCATGCCAACAAGGCCACGCTAAAGCTAATCTATAATCGCAGTTCACAATCAAGCGGTTACATAATTCTGCAAAGGTCAAACATTTACATTCATCACCAACCAAATTACTACGTCACTTGTGGCATAGCTAGATAACGTTAGCTTGACCTTGGTACGTAAAATTGGCAACATTAATGCGCAATAAATGGTTTGAAGGACTAATTTAGTTTTGTTGTTAATAGACACCATGAGCTTCGTTACGAATGAAAATCGAATCTAGAATCATACTTTTTATTGTTTAGATTGATCTGGGAACATTTAAGTTACTTTGGTAGTACAGTATTCTAACGATACCGATAAATCGACCTCAAAATAAGATTTTAATTAGTTCAAATAAAAAAATCTTCCAACCTAACCTAACTGGGTGGTTTAAGTTAAACCTAAAGGATTTAGGTTAGGTTAGGTTGTAATTATTTGGTGTGGTTGGTATAATTGTAAAGTACTGCATTTAAAATCACTCCAACCAAGTCGGCTACCTAACCAAAATCAGTCAAACTTTTTATCGAAATGGGATTGCAATTAGACCTATTGCGAAAGCTCACCCTTCACATCTTGTTGTCTGAGTTAACCTAAGATCTACTACTTTGGAAAGCCAATCACTAGAAGTTCGGACCAGGCTGAACAACTGCTATTGACAGTGTTGGGGTCAGAGCAATCATTAAACATAGTGCGTTAATACTAAGGGTTTAAGCAGTATTTAATTATACCTCATTTTATTCTAATGTTTTACAAACACCTAATAAAATTGACTAATTCAGAAACTGAATTGCATATTTGTAAACTATACCACCAAATAACTAGAGTCTTTTATCTAATTTGTGAGTCCAAAAATATAGATTTTGTGAAATTTATCTGTTTTCTACTAAATTCATTAACTTTATACAACTTCTATCAAAGCATGCTTGACGTCAAAAACAATTCATATAAAAATTACAAATTGAAAACCATAATAGAATTGACAATCGAATGACTGATGTATTTGATTGAATTTCATTCTATTCATCGAACGACAATCATTACCAATGCTCTGAAGTGATCGATTCTAAGTACCTACTGTTTTGGTACAGCTAACAATATCACCATCAATTATTGATACTTGTGTTCTATGTTGTGGGATAAATCGATATAATGGTACGCAAACGTGCATTATTGTGCAGATAATTCTAACACAGGTCAGGTATCGTTTAGTTATAGATCACCGTAAACTGAATAAGATATAAACACATAGGTGGAGATGTGGTCTATGTGGTGATTTCTTGGTAAAACAAAAATTTATGTAAACATGTGTACTTTTTCGTTTCGTTTACCGAAGTTTATTCGTATGCGTTTTTTACAATAACATTCAAAACTCCTTCGGTTTGAGTTACAGCGATAAAATTCTTCAATCACTTCATATTGACCGCTACCATTGTGTAAAATAGGAATAAAAACTATTAAACTGTTTCAAATTGGCAGATAAAGTATGTTCAATTTTTGAATCCACATAAAAACAGCTTTCAATTTTACAAAAACACCAAAAAGATAAGCTATGTTACATTTTGTAACTTTTATGGAGTTTTCCATAGTATATATAGGCTTGGTTTGGACAAAGAATAACTGATCAATTTCTTTCTTTCTTGCTATATCGACAATTTTATCCATTCAAACAAACGATGTTAAAACAATGGGGAAAACTTTAGGTACTTTATGCCACTACCTAAAAACAACCTCAATATATGACGGATAATATGTATTTAACTAACTGCAAAACAAATTAGGATTATGATTTAGAGCTCAACTTAAACTACCGTCAATTCATCGATAGACGATTTTTTTTTTAATTCATACTGATATAATTATTCAAACAGTTTTCCATACATACTTTAATATTTTTAATTAAAATGGCCCCCAAAACGGTTTTCAATATCCCATATCTTATTACATCTTCTTATCGCAACATCAATTGCTATTACTGATAAGATAATGCTATGTTTAAACCTTTTCATTGTTATCTCCTATTTAATCTACACGATCTTGTCCTTGGTCAAGTCTTATCAGTTGTTACCAGTTCTTATCAGTTACACAACTCTGTTTCGCAGACCCCAGGTCAATTATTCAACCATGCTAAATCAGTGACGTCTTTTGTGACGATCGCTGGTTCATTTACGTCCAATTTTGCAACTGTGTAAAGCTCAATATTAAGAACGTTCTTTATTGTGGTGTGAAATAACATAAACATTCATACTTTTTTATGTGGAAACTAAATATGATAACGTTTTAGTTTTATAAAGTCAAACTGAGTGATTTTTCTTTATAGTCAAAACCACTTAGATCATTTTACCTCTAGATCACGTTTACACAAATACAATTCCACGTCCTTTAGTATCAAACATCTGCCAGCAATAATACGTGTGCAATGTCATTGTTGTTATTATTTGGGTGAGTTTAATGTTTTCATCTACGTGCATTAGAGTTTATACGTTTGCTTATGACGAAGTTGCAACAACAGATGTGAAGATTATTTTTTGTGTGTAGCTTCACTTGACAATTTTGGAGTTCCGTTGACACAGATTGTAATTTAACAGATCATTGCAAATCTAATTTATCTTTTTTATACTATTCAATTTACATCCGTTAAGTGAATTATATTTAGGTTATTCTCTAACTCGTACTTCATAAGTTAAGTTGATTACAAATATTAACTTACATAACTTACTAACCTTAAGATAGTTCTTAAAGTTTCTTGTTTTAAATGTGGCAAAGTTACCATTACCCTAACAGTATTAAAGAACAGTAAATTTATAATTATGATTTTTTTAGTTAATGTACTAACGAAAGTAAATATTGCAGATTGTTGGTTGATGATAAAATGTTACATCACCGGGGGCTCGTCCCTATCAAGCTCCTGTGTTCTATCGGGACCTACGATGACCTCTATATAGAGATATGTTGTGTAAATAGGTCAAATGTTAACTGTTGTGCCACACCCCTGATAATACACTTCATGGGATACATGGATTTGAACAGAAATTATCAATGTTAAATATGTAACATAAATGATGAAGATAGATTTTTCCTTTACAAACTTATAATGAGCAAATACAATTTGAGAAATTCAGTTAATTTTTGTATTTTAAATATATGTAGCCAGGTTGAATGTGTAAACCATTTAAAACCTAGTACCTGGGGACCAAGCTTTGCTCGGGGAAAATCATTCCCCATTCCGCCAGCCTTTACTACTTCCTTCGCCAATTCCCATGTTAATGATTGTAGAGTGTAATACATGTACCCATGTATTACATGTTTGTATGTACAAGCATTAACATGTGAGCTTGAAAATCCAAAATGGATTATAGTGGGTGTAGGTGGATATAAGAGGGGGTTGTTACTTTACGTAACTTTGTCTTAACTACTTTTAAACAGTTACATGACTTATTCAGTACCTGAATATATTTAACAGTGCATATACATAACAGTTCTTTTTACAAACCCGGAGTAGGCTAATTATTGTCATCGTTTTGTAAATTTTACAGTACCATGATA